AAAGTGCTGCGTTTTAATTAACATTCACTTCTTCGGCAATTTGTAACTGACATTTGAATGAAATGACTTTTCATCCTTAAGTCAAAAGAGCTACAACGATCCTCCACATAACACTGAAGGATTATTGCATTGTGCACAAGGAGGAGGGAGGCAATCCTTCCTTTTGGTTAGCAACTTTATTTTCAGGATTTTCAAGTCGTCGCAAGTTTAAGTAACCGTTTTGGTGTAGTAGAGTTCCATTTGGGCAACCTGAACCAGTAGGTCTCAAGTACTTCTGAGTATTTACGACAAAGTTATACATATGCTAGAACATGTTACCGCTTCTACGGAGAAGATCAATGACACTACAGGAAGTAGGAGAGGAAGGGTACATAAAAAAACTTGCCTTGAATTGAATAGTGAGAAATTCAGCACCTAAGGACTCCACTTGCTCGCGAACGGCTTCTCTGGTGTCGAAAGCGCGCACTGTTGCACCAAGACCTCGTGCTGTAGCCACAGCAGATAGACCAGCGACACCACCTCCGACTACCAGAACTTTAGCTGGAGGAATACGACCCGCAGCGGTTATTTGTCCTAAACAGTAGGAAACAAAGGTGTTCCGTAGATTACAGATAGGCGCTTAGGTGGGGACCGATCTCCAAACCCTCTTATGTGAGAGTGTCCTCACAATTCTTCAGTTCTGGTTTTGTGTAGCTTCAGTAACAAGGTTACTATGTTAGGTTAACCTAAACCAAAAAAGCTTATAAATATTCATTTCGTATACATCTTATACTTGATCCATACAATTATGTAAAAATCGCTTAACTCTATCAATATGATCAAATGTAGGGTGGATGTTAGATACTTCCGGTCACTGACACAGATTCTAGCAACTCCTCATCGTAAATCAATGGATTTCTTACACAAACATGACAGTCGTAAAGGTGTAGGTTATTTGAAAAGGATGTTGCAATAAAATGATATAGAAAACAACGCCACCTTGAACCTTTGTTCGAAAAGTACAATACATTTTATCTCAGTATTAGTTCAGCTAATTAAGCCTGAAACTCGATGGAAGCATTTAAAAGCTGAGTTCTCTTCAATCAATACATAACCCTTAAAAGCAAAAAGTAGTAGATATGCTTAAGGTCGAGCGACCATATGGCCAGAGAGACGGACGAATAAAACTGAGAACACCATTCAAGCGTAGAATTACCAGCAAAAAATTTGCTGTAATGCGAAGCGGCTTCAACGACGGCCTTGTAACCAGCAATGTTTGCCATACTGGAAAGCACATCGAAGGCTTGAGCTCGACTAATGCGTGGAATACAATCCAGAGCCAGTAAAGTTATCTTACGCTCCGCAAGCATGTTAACAAGTTCCTGTCCAGAAGGAAAGGAAGTGAGGTGAAGGCGACGATGGAAACTACAACTAAAATAAAAAATAATACCTTGTTTTGCGCAGGATAAACCATGGTAATTAAAGTGCTGTTTGGGTTGAGTAAGTTTACTTCTTTATCAACCAGAGGGGAACGGACTTTAAGAACCACGTCACTTTGAGCGTAGAGGTCCTTAGCACCAGTTTCAACTAGCTTTGCGCCAGCTTTAACATATTCCGTGTCAAGATATTGCGCAGATGCTCCTGCTCCAGCTTGGACGACCAGGCTGAAACCTTTGTCTGTCAAGGTTTTTACAGCCTTACAAAAATATTAAATGAGTGAATAATGGGTCAAATTAAGTATGAAAGTTGATGGAATCTCAAAAACGTACTGACGGAGTAAGAGAAACTCTTTTTTCCTCAGGGTATATCTCTTTTGGTACGCCAATGCGAAGGCCTTCATTCCCAGGTTTGTTAAATGTTGGGGTTGTAGATGATGTTGCAAAACGAACGCCGGATGTTTTTAAGTAGCCTTGCAAACAGCGGTTCATACAATACGCTCCATTACGAAAAAGAATAGTCTCCATTGCTACCTGCCAAGGTAAAACGTTTATACAGGGGAAGAGTCGAAAAACCGACTATTTGCCAGAGCGAAAAGGGCTGACAAAACGGGTCGAATTACCGCCCCGCCATTAGCCTTGACGTGTAGTCCGAATAATCAGTAGTGTTATTTAAGTCGCAAATATTGTGGCCTGTAGGGAAAAAATGCCAAAACCCAATTAGTAAGCATATTCAGTCTTGATTTAAGAGCTTCCAAGTCGAGGTAAATGGTCCGTCTTGACCTAATAATTAAAAATTCAAGTTTTGTACTATTTCTGCTAAGAATACTGTAGCACTGTTCAAAGCTATTGTAACTTTCTAATTTCTTAAATTGGAGCCACGGAGGTCGTGGATTAAACCCAAGCCTTTTCATAAGCCGCTTTGAAAGGACTGAAGGTGATGCATTAAGGCGATTTGGCCGTTGATAGGACATAAATGGAATAAAACGTTAACTTTTTGTCAATTTACTAACAGCAAAGTTGTATGTGTTTTGCTGATCGGACTAAAATTGAGTCATTCAAAGCATCCGTGATTCCTTTTTACCTGCAGATTATTTGCATTATGCTCGCGTATTTGGCCTTCAATTTCTTTCAAAAGTTCCCAACTGTATGCATTATCACGTTTACAGTCAGTGTCAATGTAATGCATAATAAAGCAAACAAGAAAGGACCAGTATTTAATTTGGCTCATATTGTCTTAGTTATTGTAGACTTTCGGCACCATAAAAGATCACTACAAAGAACAATTGTTTGAAATATCTACTCAAATGAGTTCATAAGATCATGCGATTCATGTTATTTCGCTTCGTATGAAAGAATCTTCCTTGTCTAGGGTTAATTAAATAAACTTATATTTTCAGCGCTCAGTATACCATCAGCGCTAGTCTCAATTCATTCTCTCTGAACCTGTTGCAGCGATATTAGAACCTTTATGTGAACTTTTGCTAGTATTTACAACTTTAGGGGTAATTTGGGTGCTGTGTATCCATTAACGTCCTCTTTATATACATTCACGTAGGTCCGTACGAGCAATTGTTCACGACTAGTAACCCTTTGAATCGCTTTTTGCACATCCTAGCCGACTTGAAAATTTGCCATCTTCTTGCGGTTTGGGTCTAGATTATATCGCACTGCTCACTTTTGGACTCGTCAACGTCTGAAGCTAGACGAAGATTTCAAATATGCATATAAGCCAGTATGCAGTATCTATAACAGTTAAATTGTGACCCACGGGCACTGCTTTTGCACCATTAGACATTTCTTTAGTCTGGACCGAAACAGAGACTTCAAAAAGAGGGGCGCGAACCCAAAAAGTGGTGTTCTCATTATAGCGTCCCGTGGCTTCCCATAGGGTGGAGGAAGGTGTAAGTGAGGTTGAATACATGTATTTGAAGACGACAGGGCAAATGGGGCCTGAGCGTGGCCCGACGGCCAGCCCACGTGTACAGAGGTCAAACAACTTCTAAAGAGACCACCAACCGTCAGGTGGTCACATAAACAAAGCATTACACCCATAACAGTAATTATTGCAATTATTTCTAGGGCGCATTTTAAAGATTCTCCCCTCTTAGTGATGGGCGTAAAGGAATCGGGACAGAGGAAGTAACTAGGGTCATAAAAATTATTGGCGGGGAGAGTAAATGATGAAGACGTTATACGCGAACAGAATACGCATTTTTGGCGAACTGAAGGACTTTAGGCTACTCGCATGCTCTAGCGGCCGGAAGTCCTACTAAAGGTGCGGTGGTAACATTTGTCAAAGAAATTCAAAACTCTATCATCCACTTGACGCAGAGCAAAAGAATTTGTAAATTGGATGCTGATTAAATGAGTAAACGTGGCTGGAAGTGGAGACGAGCAAATGGATTTCATGTCTTCTAATGGAACTACTAAATTAAAGGAGGAGCAACTCTAGTGCTTGAAGAGGTTGTTTAGCTTTGCTTCCAATCATAGTGACATCTGCGTCTCTGCAGGTTTTACAATCGTTTGGTGGCGTAGGCTCTTTTGAGCAGCATATTTTTAGGGCAGATTGAAGTCGCAATGACAAGTAGGGGTGGGGGCAGGGAGGAGTGAATAATGGCTTTAGCCTGGGACTTTTAACTTTAACGATGCTCGAGACGGAAGATTTTTTATTCTCCATGTAGCGGTGAGCGTCTCAGGCCGTGAAGATGTTACAACTGCCTTGACGGTTCGTCATTAAATTAGATAGTTTATTTTAGCATACTCTCAAGAGAACCACAAAACAGAAGCATAGATAAAAATAAATCAGTTATTTATTCGTTGAATTAAGAC